CATTTCAATGCATGATGGCCCAAAGAGGCCAAGTGTGCAATTAATATCAAATGAAATGCACAAAAACATACAAGGGCCCTCAACCTCCATCATAGTTGAGCAAGAGACAAGGGAATGCACACTGAATGCAATGCAACCTAAGCATGCAAGCAAACATGCAAAGAACCCAAGCATGCAACAACATGTGGGGAAAGCACCCAACTAATATGCAATAGGCATACAACCTAAACATGTAAGCTAGCATGGCATGCAACAAAATGCAATGGGGTTAGCATGCAACAACATGCAATACACGAACATGTTACAACATGCAAGGTACCAAATATGCCACAAGCATGCGACAACATGCAAGGCAAGCATGCAAATGAATGGACCAAAGGTCGTTTTGATAAGAATGAATGGACCGAAGGTCGTTTTGATGTATATGAATGGACCAAAGGTCGTTTAGATGAATATGAATGGACCGAAGGTCGTTCCGTCATGAATGAATGGGCTAAAAACCGTTTTGACGTAAATGGATGGGCCGAAGGCCGTTTTGACATAAATGAATGGGCCGGAGGCCGTTTTGACAAGAATGGAAACCTGAATGGGCCAAAGGCCAGTATGGTGGAACTACAGTCACTTGATCTAAATTTTGTATAAGTATATATATATCTGTGTTAAATAGAAGTATGAATTGGGCCCAAGGCCGTTTGGAGCATGTTGTTCTACATATTGTCATATAACTGTCATGTTTGATATTATTCACTGGGCTATCGCTCACGCTCATTCATGTGTTTGTAGGTGAGCCAAGGGAAGTCCAAACCCAGCCCCAGTGAAGTCTGCTAGGAGAAATCCGAGTTTTGAAGAAGTCAGCCTTGCGTCTCACTCTTGAGACCTACCTTGCCTTTTTGCTATGTACGTATGTTTTGTCTTGTTGGCAAGGGCCTAGTGTATATCTGTAAATAGCCTGTCATAGGTTGACTCGTTTTGAATGATCCTGTCTGTAATGAATTTTGTGAAACTGTAATTTTGAGGTGGGTTATTAATGTAACTGAATATGGTCTGTTTGATGTGCATATAAGCACTGCTCTATGGACAAAGTTTTAAATTTTTGCTTCCGTTTGGCCCCTTTACTCTAGCAAGTTATGTCTGTAGAATATGAGGCCGTAGGTAATCTCAAGATTGCTGGCCGGTTATGTCCTTAACCCATAGGGGCGGGTTCAGGTCATGACAGGAGTGCCCCACAGGAAGTGTAGCTGACAAAGATTAATTCCCTGGAAATAATACAAACGCTTGTCGGCAACTCGTTTTGGATTTTGATGTACCGATCGACAACTTCTTTTTGTCTTGCCAATGACGCGAAGAATTGGGGTGATGCTTGGCATGGCGTCGGTAATTTTCTAATCATGCTAACAGCTGGTATGATTGCCGAGACATCATAGAAATATATAAAGCTTAAATTATTGCGAATGAAAGACTTGAGCGATTTGTTTTTTTAGTTATGGAGCCACAAAACATAATTCCTTAATTCCTGTTAATTGTGAGCACATAACATGTATATCTTCAAGAATCAATAAACTCATGTGAAGGAATAAATAAATAATGCTAGAAGTGGGTTCGGCCGAGCAACTCTGTGTATAATGCCGAAAAGAAGCTCCCATAAGCAAAAGTGCGAAACCCAGTTTTAGAGAGAGACAATGAAGATGAAAAAGTAAACCATCAATTCTATAATGCTTTAAACCTTTTTAATGGAGTTTCACAGTGAGCAAAAAGCTCTATTTTGCACGCACAAATATATGTATATTGTGTGAGTGATTTTTCGATCACACTGCCCAACTTAGTATTCAGCTGGAGAGCACTGGCAGAATAGATGACACCTGGCTGACCTGCAACAGAAAGAGAAGATTCCGACGGTGGTTCGTCCACCCGGGAGCACTCCGACGATCAAGTCAGTATATCTCTCAAAGATAATCAATAGTGCTAATTTCACTGTTCAGAATATAAATTGCGTACCTTAAACCCATCGGGGGTGCCTCTCTTTTATAGTTAACTCAATCCTTGTCTCACTAAAAGCCTAGCTTCAATGGACTCTTACTCAGTGTTTATCCTGGACTCTCTAAGAGATAAAGATAAACTCCCTAAAAGTGTTATCCTTATCCATGCTATAGTCCTTCCTCATTCTAGGACTCTTGTGCCTTATCCGTTTATTTCGGATTCCGATATCTTTGGAGATAACCTTGGCCTTGCAAAGATCACATCGGCGTCATGTCCTGGACACGTGGCACCTCGGCTGACACGTCAGCGTCACCTTAGCCACATGTTTGGGACTCAGAAAATATATCCCCACAACTGCCCCCTAGGTTCTATTACCTCGGCATCCTGAGGTGATGAAACCTATATTGGTACTTCTTGTCAGTACATCGGCGTAAGCCGAGATCATCATTATAGGCCGATATGTCTTCTTAAAGATTAAGAATCCCAAGGACTTCTTCACGCGTATGAGTTGTTATACATAACAACTCAACCATTTAAGCCACGTGCCTTCCCCTCACTGGATCGTACTTGTTACGCGTTTGTAAGTCGTCTCACGCCTGCATGCGTTGTTTGACAAAGCTGTTTTTCTAGGCTCATCAATCTTGTGCTACCGCCGTTTTAGGTTTTTAACAAAACTTTTCCCCCTTTTGTCTTTTCACTTACATCGTCTCTATTCAAACTCTTTCTCTCTCTTGCCCTCTCTAATCTTCTATTGTTCCAAGCTCTGAAGCTCTGCTGCCACAGCTGTTTCACCTCTTCCGGCGAGGCTCTTTTTCCGCTACCACCATTTTTCTGACTTCGGCGATCTCAACATCGGCTTTTTTCCTCTAGTAAGTCATCGTTCCTTCTGGTTTTTAGTTCTTGTTACGCTACAAGAAATTTTACTTTATCATTAGTCACCATTGTTGTTTTACTTAAACATTTGATTTATGAATCATGCATCTGAATGTGTTTATTTGCCCATGTCTTGAATACTCGCACTGCTCACAATTTTTCTGTAATTTTGCAACTGTTCTTGACCTTGTATCCTTTCACACACTCTGTCACAGTGTTCTTGGTAGTTCACCCTTGTTCTTGATTCTGAAACACATTCTTGTTTTCTGTTTTCTGTGTCTTTTCCAGATTTTTGCCTCCAATCTTGCTCCATTTTATTTAGGTTTGGGATTTATTTGTAGAACCCTTGATTTTTAGGAAAAATTGGAACTATTTCCTCAAATTCTTACCCAGCACACAATTTTGATTTTTGCCAAGGTCCCAATAACCCTTTTAAAACACCTTTTTGAAATCCAACCCCTTGAGTTAAGCCGATATCATGGGTATGTGGAACCATAGGGTAAACACCCCGACAAAATTAGAATACTTTAGGCGAGAGTTTTCCATTCCTGCCGACGTCCATCTGAGGTTGGCTGGGGGTGACAACTCTATCATGCCCGATGTAAACCTCATGCCTTTCCCAGTAATAGCGTTTATTGAGTGTGGACTTAGGTTTACACTTGATCCTTTCTTCCGTGAAATCCTCCACTTCTATAGGTTAAACCCAATGCAACTTGCAATCAATTTGTACCGAGTTATTAATGGTACCATAGCCTTAGCCAAACAAGAGAATGCTAGGATTACTCTTGCCGACTTCCAGTTCTGTTATACCATGTGTCGCCTGAAATCAGAAAAATGCCATATCTATTACCTCAAGCCGAGGTCTACGGAATACAAAATTGTTGCTGATTTTTCTGACTCCAACAAGGGAGCAGGGGATGATTACTTCATCGTTTCGGGTAATTGGGAGTTTTAGCCAAACGATGACCTTCATCTTTATCCCATAAGTCAAATAGTTTTCGGGGAAGGAGCTGGTAAGGGCCACCCTTCACAAATTTTCTTGCTTTCTTGCATAAAATTTTCAACATCCTGCTCTAATGTTTACGCTTTTTTCTTTTTTGCAGTTCTCCCTTAGCCACCAAAGGGCTTCTGTCAGTCTTTCTTTCCCAGCAAAGACTTGAAGAAACTACTGAATTTTCCAGTCCACAAGCGGAAGACCCTTCTGCTTCTCAACTTCATCCCCATTTATAAGTCGGCTCTTCCCGACGTCCCAAAGAAGAAGAAGAAAAGCCTTCTCTACCTTCTGCCACAACTCCACAAGTCGTGTCTACATCTCAGACAGACCAAGGATCAACCTCTGATCCTGTTGAGCAGCCGTCAACCTTGGCTCCATACCTGATCCCACCATCTCAACGACATCGTCGGCGATGAACTGTGTTTTCTTCCGAGATGGGCCGCCAGAAAGCTGTTACAAAAGACCTCTTAGCCAGCATCCCTTCCGATGTTGACGCTCAGCCAACGCAAGCCCAGCCTCCACCAAAGTAAAAAAGAATTAAGAAGGCTCAACCAAAGGCCAAGGTGACTCAGGTTGACACTGAGGACACTTTCCCGATCTCCAAACTGGCTGAAAGTGACAAGTCCCAGCCTTCCACGGAGAAGAGGCGTGCCGAGGCCTAACCATCCGATTCTCCGAAATCAAAGAGGCCGAGGTCATCCTCTGCAACCACCTCGGGGTCCAAAAAACATGATGCCCCCTGGGCCCCCAAAATCACTTTGGAAGATAAGTCAGTTATGGCCAATGATAGTGCCGATGACATTAACGTCGGCGTAGCCCTCAGTACCGCTCTGCTTCTCCCCAGCAATCTCAACCAAAACGCCGAGTTGAGCGAGTATGAAAGCTACGCCCTGATGCTTCAACGCTCCGTTCAAGTAAGTGTCCTTATCTAGCAAATTTTTCTTTCTTTCTGTTCATTCCATACTTGTAATTTTTTCTAACAACTTCTGTTCTGTTTTACTTTTAGGCCATCCAGCACGCTCATTCCTTCTCAGTACAATCATTTGAGAATCGGAAGAAGCTGACCGAGAAAAAGAGGGAGGTCTCCACTCTTCAAAAGACTAATAAGAACTTGCAATCAAAGATGAAGACCCTGGAAGATCAGGCTGAGGATGCTATCAAAGCTCAACATGACGCCGAAGAGAAAGCAGGTGCTGCTGAGGCGATAAACAAAGTTCTTCAAGCCCAGCTGAAAGAGGCCGAGGACAAGGTGGCCGAGGCCCAAAGAGAGCTTCAAGACGCCCTGGCCACCAAAGAGGCCGAGGTCAAGGCCGCCGACAAGAAGGGCTACAACGAAGGGATGGCCAATGTCACGACAGATTAGGAAAAGCAAGTGAAGCAGGCATGCAACAAGGGTTTCACCCTTGGTTGGATATCTCTTCTAAAAAAGCTTGAAGTCCCCGAGGACACACCCCTTAGGAACGCCGATGACATTCCTCTTCCATTCCCTCCAACTCCAACTCTAACTCAATCCAATGACGACTCTGAATCTAAGGAGGAGGTTTTGGTGAGGAAGTCAAAAGATGTTGCTGGGGCCAAGTCTCCTCCTCAAAATGAGCAAGTCTTGGACTTGACTCAAGATGAGGAGGATGAGGAAGTCCCCAAGGATGCCACTCCAGAGAAGGCGTCATCGGACGTGCCTCCTGCCGACAAGAGCATAGATGAAACCCTTCAAGAAATTGATACTGAACTTGTGGCCGAGAAGGTTACCGAGATGTCTTCTCAGCAGTCCTCCGAGGTCCAAACCCAGCTTGCTGCTGAAAACTCTTGATTTCATGTTTTTCTCTTTCTTTTGTGCTTTATACTTTTTTTTTTGGAACAATTGTAGGCTTTGGCCGATATGTCAACTTTTTTAATATAACTCTCTTTTCTGAATGCTTGTATGTGTGCCTTCTCTGTATTACTTCTGTATGATTCCATACTTAAAATATATCTTTAGTATACACTTCAATCTTTGTGCAATCTTCTCGAGATAACACACCTCGGTCATACAGACTTCGTTTAACTTTAACTTGTAAACTTTTCTCAAGTTTCAACAAGTGTTAAACATCATCTCGGTTTAACTTCAACTTGTAAACTTTTCTCAAGTTTCAACAAGTGTTAAACATTATTTCTTCTTTCTGCCCCCTAATGTGAACTTAAGTTCCACTTGGGGTCTCATTATGCATGTACTCCAGAAACAACAAGTATGGAAGAAGTCTGCTAAAATTTTATTCATTACGTTGGCAAATAACAAGGAAAATCTAATGGTAGAAAAATTTCAAATTACAAGTATTCTTGGGTCTTGGCAACTCTTTTATCTTCAAGCCGAGAAGAAAGAAGTGTTCTTCATCCCCCTCCTGGACGAGGATTTTCTTTAGTGTTTCTTCACTCTTCTCGGCTGGTTTCTTGCCGACATCCTCTAGGACCTCCATGTCCTCGCCTTCAATCTCTGCTTTCTCTGGTTTCTCGAATGCTGCAGGTGGATTTCATTGCTGCCATGGAGTAATTCTTTGCCTGCAGCTGATCTTCTCTAACCTCTTCAATCCTATGCTCTATTAGGAACCGCAATAGTTGATGCAATGTTGAGGGAACTGCCCCCATTGCATACAACCATGGCCTTCCCAAAATGATGTTGTAAGGGGAGGGTGTGTCAATTACGGTAAACTCTATTGTTATCTTCTTAGTGCCTGCCTGTACTTCCAAGCTGGTTGTTCCTAGTGGCCATGTCGGCGTTCCATTGAACCCGACCATTGGGCTATTGGATTGCTCCATATCGTCTGGGTGAAAGCCAAGCTCCTCGTAACATCGAACGTACATGATGTCACAAGAGCTGCCCTGGTCAATCAGAATGTGTTTTACTTGGCATTCCCCAACCTGGAGGGATACTACCAAGGCATCATTATGCAGATGATGTACTATCTCAAGGTCGGCCTCAGAAAAGGACACTACTGGTCCTTGGCACTCCTCTGCCCGATGTCTCTTTTCCCTGACTTGGTAGACATGCTGCAAGTGCTTCACCTTCTGGGTCTCCCCCCTAATTTCGTTCTTGTTAACCTTCGAGTGCATTACATTAATTACCCGAGGTCCTCCTGCTTAAGGTTGCTGTGCTGGGGGAGGTGGAGCTGTTGTCGTCTGAGGCAATCTTGTCTGTTCTTCCCTTGTCCTGGCCTCATCGATAAGGTCTCTCAGATGACCTTGCCTCACAAGGTCTTCTAAGTGTGTTTCCAGGGCTCTACAACCTTAAGTCATGTGCCCATCTTCATTATGGTAAGCACAATGTCTGCTAAGGTTTCTTCCCATAAACTCTTCTGGTGCCCTTGCTGGTGTTCTGAAATAGGGTTGACTCCGAATTTGGTACAGGACTTTGTGAATTGGGATTCGGAACACAGTTGTCACTACCTGTGTAGCCCTTAGTTCTGTCTCCTGCTTGCTGGATCCGTTGTTACCTCGGCCTCGCTTCGGCGAGCCGTTTCCTTTCTCTTGCTTTGTTTCCCTGGTCCCTGACATGTCTTCCTCGGCTCTGGCATACTTCTCGATTCTTGCCATGAGCTCTTTCATATTTTTTGGCAATGTCTTTGCCAAAGACTTCCATAGTGGACAGTTATCTTTTAGGCCGTTCTTGAAAGACACAACCGCCACTTCTTGATTACACTCTAGTATTCGGTTGAATACCTCCTAGTATCTTTTTGCGTAGGCCCTAAGGCCTTCATCCTTACTGATCTTCAAAGCCATCAATGTGTCCACCCGCAATGGCTGCAGTTTGTTTGTTACGAACCTGGCCACAAACATCTCGGCCAGGCCTTCCCAAGTCTTCACGCTTCCCTTTGATAATTTGTGAAACCAATCTGATGCAATCTCCCCGAAGGATGAGGGGAACACTTTGCAGAGTAACGGCTCGTTTCCACTATACAACATCATTGAGTTCAAGTATAATCCAACGTAGAAGTTGGGGTCTGACTTACCATCGTATATTTGGAACCTTGGCATACTAAATCTCTTCGGCGCCTCAAACCTGTCCAACTCTACCGAGAATGGTGTCCTCGGCTTATCTGGGGAGGTTACCTCGGCGTCGGCATTCTGTTGCTTCCTCTTGAGGTAATCTCTTAAGTCCTCCTTTGTCCGCCCAGGAGCTCGGCTATCTCCTATTTTTCAGTCTTTTTGGTGCACTACTTTCAGCTTCATGGTGAGTCCTCTTCGACCCTTTTTCATGAGTTGTGTCGAAGCACAGCGCCTGCTCCTGAACATTCCAATGTCCTTTGGGGTCTGTCTCCTTTGTGCGATGCGTCCTCCGTGATTCTTCTCTTCTTGACTCTCTTCGTCCGACCTCCCTAGAAGGTCGGTGAGAGTATCTTTCGCTTCCGTTGTGCTGAGGGGTTACGGGGATTGTTTTCTGCCCTTCCTTCTGGGCATTGTCCACTAGAATCGGCGTGTCCTGCAACGGGAACGGTGGTTGCATGACGTTATTTTGCATCATGAAATTAACGACCGACTGCAGGTCTGCCAATTTGTTTGCCATCTCTTTTATCTCTTCGTCCCTCCGTAGGCACCTATCTTTCCATACCTGGAGGTTGTCCTCGTTGTAGTACCCACTTCGATTTGGTTTCTTTGGTACGTCGCCAGTCTAGCCGACGTCTTTCACTCCGTGATTCTGGTCACGATTTTCTGTGTTGCACTCGTCCTCTTCGATATCAAGGTCAATAGGTCTCCCACTCCCAGCAGGAGATGTTGTCCCCAATCTTTTCCTTCTGTCCATCTATTCTCCTTTCTTTCCCACAGACGACGCCAAATTGTGTGAGTGATTTTCCGATCACACTGCCCAACTTAGTATTCAGCTGGAGAGCACTGGCAGAATAGATGACAACTGGATGACCTGCAACAGAAAGAGAAGATTCCGGCGGTGGTTCGTCCACCCGGGGGCACTCCGACGATCAAGTCAATATATCTCTCAAAGATAATCAATAGTGCTAATTTCACTATTCAAAATATAAATTGCGTACCTTAGACCCATCGGGGGTGCCTCTCTTTTATAGTTAACTCAATCCTTGTCTCACTAGAAGCCTAGCTTCAATGGACTCTTGCTCAGTGCTTATCCTGGACTCTCTAAGAGATAAAGATAAACTCCCTAAAAGTGCTATCCTTATCCATGCTATAGTCCTTCCTCATTCTAGGACTCTTGTGCCTTATCCGTTTATCTCGGATTCCGATATCTTCGGAGATAACCTCGGCCTTGCTGAGATCACCTCGGCGTCATGTCCTGGACACGTGGCACCTCGGCTGACACGTCGGCGTCACCTTGGCCATATGTTTGGGACTCAGAAAATATATCCCCACATATATCCAATCCAAGAACCATTCTTACAATAATTTTCAGAGAGCAAGATCAAAAGTGTAGTTAAATTTTTACTTACAAGAACATGTTTGCTCCTCTCTTCGTTGAACTCTTGCAAACGTTTCCCACAGACGGCGCCAATTGTGAGACCATGAAATATCCTCTCACATGGATTGTAGAGATCCAACGATGAGATGAACTTGGTCCTAGTATACCTGTTAAGCAGAATGAAAGTTTAGAAAGTGTAGAGTGCTTGGTGTGTAGTGTAAAGAGAGAGAGAACATACCTCAACTTGGGATACCCCCCTTTATATAGGTGGGGGGTGTAATATTTGTTTGGGTTGGACTCATTATAGGCCTTGTTTGGGTTAATCCTAATAGGCTAATATATTTTTTTCTGGCTCCCACACGCGATAAATTAAATAAGTTACAATTATCAAATTGACCTAATTTTTTTTGTGAATGATATATATGAAGTGTTCAACAAAATAAACGTTTTAAAGTATTAAAATAAAATCCGTGATACATCCCACGAGTCCAAATAATATCCTCTAATTTAAATTTCTGCCTCCCTAATATAAAGTGTATATTTATATACTTCTACGTCTTGGATGAATTGGTGTGTTATTAAATCTATATTTATTCTATATATTATATAAAGCAAATGAAATTTTTAGGGGAAAAGTCTTCTCGAAACTTCAAATTCTCATTCTAAAATGATTGAATTTTAAATAATTAAGAAAATTTTCATTGACTAACTTCCATTTACTTTTTATTTTACAATCCCATATCGGATAAAAAAAAAAGTGAATTGTTTCACTTACATAAAGTGAATCTTATACTCTCATTTATATAAGTAAAAAAAGATTTTTAATGAGAAGCCTTATCTATATATATATATATATATATTATGTAAGAAAAATGGAGTTTTTAACAATTAAAAAAATTCTCATTTGCTAGCTTCCATTTACCTTTTATTTTATAATATTACATCGAGAAAAAAAAGAAAAAGTAAATTGTTTTACTTACATAAAGTGAATCTCATACTCCCATTTATATAATCAAAAAGAGATTTTTAGTGAAAAATCTTATGATTAATATCTTATACTAATTTTTTTTATTTTATTAATTTTAAACAATTAAAAAAATTCTCATTAACTAGCTTCTATTTGACTTTTATTTCACAATCCCACACAGAGGTTTTGACTTTAACAATAATTTTTTATGAGGTTTTGAAACTCTCATAATATCTCTTCTTAAAAATATTATTTTGTAAAATATATAGATATATTGATAATTTTAACGTCACTTTTACTGCTCCTTAATACAAAAATTATAAGGTCTCGGTGTCCCATAGCGGGAATGGAGGGGGAATTTCTGAACTATAAAAGTAAAAACCTAAACCCTTATATAGCATCGAGACCTTTTCTCGGGTGGTGAGATCCCTAACCGAACTCCCCAATTAAGTGTGCTTAGGCTAGAGTAGTTCTGGGATGGGTGACCCACTGGGAAGAATAAATCCGTGCCGGCGTGGCCCAAAGCGGACAATATCGATGACATGTGAAGGGTTGGGGTGTTACAAATGGTATCAGAGCCGACTCTCCGGAGTACCAAGTGTGGGCCCCTACCTTCTCTCTATGCATGTGGGTGGGCTCGTAAGTTAGTAAGCTACGACACGAGGACGTGCAGATCTAAAGGGGGTAAATTGTAAGGTCCCGGTGTTCTACAGCGGGAATGGAGAGAGAGTTCTTGGACTATAAAAGTAAAAATCTAAACCCTTATAAGCATCGAGGCTTTTCCCAGATGGTGAGATCCCTAACAAAGCTCCCCAATTAAGCGTGCTTAGGTTGGAGTAATTTTGGGATGGGTGACCCACTGGAAAGAACAAATCCGTGCGGCCATGGCCCAAAACGAACAATATCGATGACATGTGAAGGGTTGGGTTGTTACAAAAATTATGAGATAATTATGATAATTTTAAATTTGTATTTAAAACTTAATCATGGGATAGATTATTATAATTTTAAATTTTAAAATTTAAATTAATAGATTACTTTTAAATTTTAATAAAATAAAATTTAAAAATTTTAATTAATTAATTTTTGTGTAAACTGGTTGGTCTTTTGACCTAACTGATTAAGCTAAAAGATTTTTTGTTTGAATGATTTGTTGGTTTGATCGTGATTTTTAGCGGTTTTATCAAAATATATTAGTTAGATTTGTTTGATTCGAAATAAACTAAAGATTGACTTAATTCAAGATTCAATGGCTGAGATTGCTTGATTCGAAATAAACTTCGCGCCCAAACTATTGTTGACTTTTATTTTACACAATCCTACATGGGAAAAATAATGAAAAGATGAGTTATTTCACTTATATTATATAAGGGAGAAAAAAAAGGGTTTTTAGAGAGAAACATTCTAGGAGTTTCAAACTCTCATTCTAAAATTATTGGATTTTCTTAATTTTAACAATTAAGAAAAATTTTATTGGCTACATTTAACTTTTATTTTACAATCCTACATCGGAAAAAGAAAAAAAAAAGTGAATTGTTTCACTTACATAAAGTGAATCTTATGCTCCTATTTATATAAATTATTAAATTTTTTTAATTTTAAATAATTAAGAAAATTCTCATTGGCTACATTCTTTTAATTTTTATTTTATAATCCTACATCGAGAAAAGAAGGAAAAAATGAATTGTTTCACTTATATAAAGTGAAAGTGAATTGTTTCACTTATATAAAGTGAATTTTATAAAGGAGATTTTTAGTGAGAAGCCTTAGGATCAATATCTTATACTAATTTTTTTGATTTTCTTAATTTTAAATAATTAAGAAAATCCCGATTGGTTATTTTCCATTTAATTTTTATTTTACAATCACACATAGAAATTTTGATTTTAAAAATAATTTTGTATGGGGTTTTAAAACTTTTATAATATCTCTCCTTAAAAGTATTCTTTTGATAATCTCGACGTCACTATTACGGCACCTTATTACAAAAATTATGAGACAATTATGATTATTTTAAATTTGTATTTAAAACTTATAAATCATGGGATATATTATTATAACTTTAAATTTATATTGTGTCAATTTTAAATTTAAATTAATAGATTTTTTTTTTCATATTTAGTGACAGTTTAAATTTTAATAAAATAAAATTTAAAAGTTTTAATTAATTAATTTTTGTGTAAGCTGGTTGATCTTTTGACCTAATTAATTAAGCTATACCGTTTTGGTTTGAATGATTTGCTGGTTTAACCGTAATTTTAGTGGTTTTACATGTTACGATAATTCTTTCTTACTTATTAAGTTTTTTATTTTTTTTTAATTATTTCCCTTTCAAAAATCGATATGAAATTTTTTTAAAATTAATATATTTTTATTCTAAAATAGTGAAATATTAGAATTATGTCATTTTTTTTTTATAACAAATCATAATTTTAATTATTAATTGTCAATACAACAATTTTAATCTATCTATACTATATATTATAGTAAATGAACATTTGAAACAAAACCCTCAAACTTATATGTAAAATTTTATTTAGAGACACATATAAAAAAATAAAATATAATTATTGTATTTTTAATAAATAATATATTATTTTATCTCCGTGCATAACCCGGGTAATATAAAATGCCTATGTTTTGGAAGTGGATTTTGTGGCTTTTTTGGGCTAAAATAGCACAAAAAACAAAATAGGTTTTTTAGCCCAATAAGACAAAACATCACATCCAATCCACAATCATTACATTCTTTCTCTCACAAAAAAGTCAAAAAAGCCAAAAAAATCAAAAATCATTCTCAAACTAGGCTTTTTAGCCACAAACTAAAATAGCTAAAAAAGTAAAAAAGCCAAATAGCCAACCCACTTCCCAAACGAAGCCAAAAATAAAAGATAAGAGAGAAAAATGATGATTCAAATATATTTATCACAATAAATCGTATTTAAATGCGGCCAATTTAAAATCAATCAGCTTGTTTAGTTTTGATTTCTAAAAAACAATTTTTAGAAAATTTTATTTTTTTATTTTTCGTATTTTAATATTTTCAATGGATTTTTTAATATTTTAAGCAATTTTTTTAAATTTTTAGACACGCTTAACATAAATACACTTAAAAGTATAATATTTGTGAAAAAAAACTTTAAAAAATACACTAAATACCAAAAAAAAAAATTCAATATATTTTTCGTATTTTTGTATGTTTATTAATTTTTTAAAATATTTTTCACAAACATTTTACTATTTAGATACATCTAAGTAAGGTGCATCTAAAAAAGTAAAAAAAATTGATGAAAATTTAAAAAATATTGACTAAAAATAAAAAAAATATGAAAAATAAAGAATTCAGTTTTCAAAAAATTAAATTCAAAAAACTAAAACTAAACATACTAATGCATTTTTTCTTTAAAGGAATATAAAAAAAATTAAAAAAATGGTAAAAAGGAATAAATATTTAGATGGTCGTTAAACCATCTCATCCCAATCAACCACAAGTAGGTATTTTTGCAAATGGTAGTGCTACGTAGCTCGAAAGGTGGAGCTCGAAATTGGCTCGAATCAGAAGCAGAGAAGGAGAAGAGAAGGAAGGAGAGAGGAGGAGGAGGAGGAGGAGGAGGAGGGACTGGAGGGGGCCCAACAAATGGGGTTGGGCGACGATCCTCGGCGGCGGCGGTGGTGCTGGCTCTTCTCCTCTCTTCTTCCTCTTTTCTCTCCCTCTTTCTCCTCTGTCTCTTTCTCCTCTCTTCTTCCTCTCTTCTCTCCCTCTTTCGAGCCAATTCGAGCCAACCAATTTGAGCTACGGCTCATTTCCGTTTTGCAAATATGAATATGAGGTTCCGATACAATATATGTTAGATTCACAGAGAAGAGAAGGGGAGTTTTAACAAATGTAAAAAACTCAAGTCCTCATTGTCCAAAGTAATAATCCATTCAGTAGGGATTAGAATTACCTATAATAAATATTTAGTACTTGTTTAGGAACATCATTATTTAGTTTGAAAATTAAAAAGTTATTAAAAAAATCAAAAGTTTAATAAATTATATAAAAAAAATTAAATCTTATTTTTTTTGTATTTTTTGTATATCTTTTCGTAAAAAATTAAAAAATTATTCAAAACATATTAATTTTTTTTATTTCATATTTTAGTTAAAAAATTAAAAAATTATTAAATAATCTATTCCCATACGAAGCTTAATTTGTGTTTTAGTTGTTATTTAATTTTAATTTTAAATGTTTAATACATAGTTTATTGTAATTAAAACTATAGTAAAATTATTGTAAGAAAATGATGGTAAATAAAATCAGGCTCATTGGTGAGAATCAAAATTCAGCCTTGCGATCGTAGCGACGAAATAATTTTGTCCCATTTACGCTGTGTTTGGTTGGGGGTTTTGGGAAGGGAAATGGAAAGGGAAATGGAAATGAAAGGAAAAGGAGAAAGAATTAATAGAATTCCAAATCCCAACTATGTTTGGTTGTGTTGGTTATAAAATAGAATTGATGTCCTAAAAGGTATCCTATTTCTTTATTTATTTCTCACCCCCTTTCTTTTCTCATACATTTTTTATTATAACCAAACATAAATAGGATTACATTTCTCATTCCTTTTCCAAATCCCACCTCAAAAACTCCAACCAAACACAGCATTAAGGATCGAATGGCATGGAATGGGAATGGGGGCCTACCCACCTACCATTCCCATATACATACATAACTCACTACTCGCATATTACGAGAGAGAGAGAGAGAGAGAGAGAGAGAGGAGCTGTCAAGTCTCAAGTGGGACCTCACTCTGATAAAAACGTAGAACGACTGAACAATGGAGCTGCAACTACCTCCTCCACACGCACTCTCTCTCTCTCTCTCTCTCTCTCTCATGGGAGGAAGGAAGTATCTCGGATTATCAAAACTGGACCTCAAAGTAGACCCGAAGGCCCCTGCAAGGAGGGAATGAAGGAGGGGGCTCAAGTGGAGGATCCCAATTCTTGCGATCGTAGCGACGAAATAATTTTGTCCCATTTAAGGATCGAATGGCATGGAATGGGAATGGGGGGCCTACCCACCTACCATTCCCATATACATACATAACTCACTACTCGCATATTACGAGAGAGAGAGAGAGAGAGAGAGAGAGAGGAGCTGTCAAGTCTCAAGTGGGACCTCACTCTGATAAAAACGTAGAACGACTGAACAATGGAGCTGCAACTACCTCCTCCACACGCACTCTCTCTCTCTCTCTCTCTCTCTCTCATGGGAGGAAGGAAGTATCTTTCATATTTCTCAATTCCATCTATTATTATTAACACTCCATTTACTCTCTAACCATCTTGACAAATGACCACTTAATTAGCTCCACTTGTTTGTAACCCCTTTTTTTGTTTTGTTTTTGGTTTTGGTTTTGGTTTTGGTTTTGATTTGGTCGATGTGGGGATAGGAAGCTCCACTTGCAACCTTAGTTGACAAAAAATAGTTGTTGGGTTTGGGGTTTTATGGTGTATATATTTATTTATTTGCAGCAGGGACAACTTCATAATTGAGGGATATGGGTAGCACTAGCACAGAGATCAAGTCACTGGAAGTGTTGCAGCAGCAGCAGGAGGATCCACCTCCTCCTCCACCTCCTGCTGCTACTAGTTTAGAGGGGAATTCAAATGCAAATTCAAATTCAAATTCTGAATCTGATCAATCATATATGATGAGAAAGAAGCTTGGAATCTACTTCATTGAGTCTGACCACAGACCACACACTACTTCAGCCGCCGCTTATTCTGCAGGGGGAACTACACCCGTTAATATCCGCGGCAAACCTATTCCCGACCTATCCAAAACTGGCGGTTGGATTGCCGCCTTCTTCATTTTCGGTAAATTTTATTCACTTCACTTCCCCCAAAAACAAAAACAAAAACAACTATCTTGTTGAAACATTACTAGCTACTGAGAGCTTAATACAACTGATGGCATGTCAAATATGGTTGTGGGTGTTTGATGTTTTCTTTTGTTGTGGGTATTATTTTTCTTTTATTTATTTATTTATTTATTTATTTTTGTTTTGTCATTCATGTCAAATATGGGTTGGGTTGGGTTGGGTTGGGTTGGGTTGTGTTGTGTTGTTGTGAGGGTTTGTTTTTATGTTTGATGATTGTCAGCCGGCGGCAGTGAGAAAGAGCTTGACTCCTTCCCTTGCTTGCTTTGTCCCAGGGAATGAAATGGCCGAGAGAATGGCTTATTTTGGGCTTGCAGTTAACATGGTGACATTTATGTTCTATGTTATGCATAGACCTTTCTCAAGTTCAGCAAATACAGTCAACAATTTCTTGGGAATATCACAGGCCTCCTCTGTGCTTGGTGGCTTTTTAGCCGATGCATATCTTGGTCGATATTGGACTATTGCAATTTTTTCCACTTTATATCTCGCAGTAAGTAAGATGTGTTCCTCCAATCTATCTAGCCCCACTATTTTTTTACAATATCTACTGTGATTTCTAAATTTATTACTTGATAATAAATAAATAAATAAAAAGCAATACCAATTCATTATAGATATCAAACCAACTTTTGTGAAACCTTAATTGAAAAACCACGTGTTCTATCAAAAATTGCCTAGATTATTAACATCTTATGTTCATTTCTGGAGGGTTTGATAGGAATTACCTTATGTGCCACCAAGACCATTTTTGTGCCAAACCAAGCTGAGTGTAGTCGGATTGCCCTTCTTTTGGGAAATTGCGAACCCGCAAAACCATGGCAGATGCTTTATCTCAACTCGGTTCTTTACATGACTGGATTCGGAGCTGCAGGTATAAGGCCTTGTGTTTCTTCTTTTGGGGCCGATCAATTTGATGAAACAAGCAGAGATTACAAGTCTCACCTGGATAGATTTTTCAACTTGTTCTATTTGTCTGTCACTGTTGGGGCAATAGCGGCCTTCACTGCAGTGGTCTACATACAGAGGGAACATGGTTGGGGATCTGCTTTTGGTTTCTTGGCCATAGCTATGGGGATCTCAAACATGGTCTTCTTCCTTGGCACTCCCTTGTATAGGCACAGATTGCCCGGAGGCAGTCCTCTGACCCGTGTTGCGCAAGTCCTGGTTGCTGCCTTTCGCAAGAGAAATGCTTCCTTTGATAGCGGTGAGTTAGTGGGCCTCTATGAGCTTCCAGGCAAAAGATCTGCCATAAAGGGCAGCACCAAGATAGTTCATACTGACAGTTTCAAGTAAGCCATTTGTTATCTGTTGGCATATCTATTTGTTGATTCTTTACACTCAAATATGTTATTGTTTTAGTATATATTTATTTCTGAGTCTTTGGCCTTTACAGATGTTTAGACAAAGCAGCCCTGCAATTGAAGGAAGACAGTGCTGAATCGAGTCCTTGGCGGCTCTGCACCGTCACACAAGTAGAAGAAGTGAAGATTCTTTTAAGGCTCCTTCCAATTCCAGCTTGCACTATAATGCTCAGTGTAATCTTGACAGAGTTCTTGACTCTATCAGTACAGCAAGCATTTACACTGAATACCCACCTGGGTAATCTTAAACTCCCTGTGACATGCATGCCTGTCTTTCCAGGACTCAGCATATTCATTCTACTGTCCCTCTATTACTTGATATTTGTCCCTCTATCGCGGCGCATTACAGGTCACCCCCATGGGGCCTCTCAGCTTCAGAGGGTAGGCATTGGGTTGGCAGTTTCAATTCTTTCAGTGGCATGGGCTGGCGTTTTTGAGAGGTACAGAAGGAATTATGCGATACAACACGGGTACGAGGCTAGTTTTCTAACAGCCATGCCAAACCTGAGTGCATACTGGCTATTAATCCAGTATAGCCTGATTGGGGTAGCTGAAGTATTTTGTATTGTGGGATTGCTAGAATTCCTATACGAGGAAGCCCCGGATGCCATGAGAAGCATAGGTTCAGCTTATGCGGCTGTAGCTGGGGGTTTAGGTTGCTTTGCAGCCACCATATTGAACAGCATTGTCAAATCTGTAACGGGTAGGAGTGATGGAACGCAACCGTCATGGCTGTCCCAGAATATTAATAGTGGAAGGTTCGATAACTTGTACTGGCTCCTTGCGGGTCTGAGTTTAATTAACTTCTGTGCTTTCCTATACTCAGCGCATAGGTATCAGTACAGGGAAAAACAGCAGGAAAATATTGAAATTGAAATTGTTGGGGATAAAAAATAATGGACCTGCCTTTCCATTTGTAGTAAGTTAAGCTAGGCTAGCATTATATATGTGAAACTTCAAACGAATTGGGTTGACTTTGGAATCACAGATTCCATCTCTCAATAGAACTGAACTTGGCTTGATAAGATCTGTATATAATTATGTTTTTCATTTTTGTACAAATGCAGCATAAAAAGCTTCTTCTTGGTCCCTTTCTTTCTTTCTTTCTTTCTTCCTTCCTCACTTTCTTGTTTATTTATTTATTTTATGCGTTAATAATTTGCCAAAAGTCTTTTTGCTTTGGCAAGAGCAAATGGCCATGGAATATATCAAGCTTGAAAATACCTAGTTCATAAAACCTAAATAACCTTAATCATGTACAATAATCCAAGTTCACTTTTATTGGTAGTACACACAAATTCAAGGGATATTCATAAAAGGTATAGGTGTTTCCAGATGATTCCATGACAAATATAATTACACGAATCAGTTAATGTGATCGAACACTGGCCAATATTTTCCTATACAAAAGAGACGCAAAAGTGCATTGAAATATCAAGTAAGGAGGAGGATATCATTACATGAAAATACAAACGAGTGCCATAAAAATAAACCACCAGCTTCCTCCATGGGAACCTGTTATGCACAGTACTTATTGCACATTCTTGGCTGCTTTGTACGTTTGCTCTTTTACTTTGAAATCAACCTCCTCGCAAAACTTCAAGGGCTTTCACAGAATTCCATCTCCTGAGACACCAAGATTAGACGTAATTGCAGGTGACTTGCTAAATCAGTGAACATTGAACTATGGAGATCAAATTATTATTCAAGAACCGAAATAGAATTATTAATTTCATGTCTTAAAAAAGAGCAATTCTATTCACACTTTGCCACTTTCCCTTACTCTCTTTTGTCTTTTAGAGGGAAGCGTGAGAGGTTAATAATGAAGTGTGAATATCATTATTACTCCTGAAAAAATCACAAAACTCTAATTCAAAACCATAAAAGTTTATTGCTCTACTAAAAAACCTGCAACCGTAGAAGAGTAACTTATTAACAAACAACTATCAGAGGCATCTTATTTAAAACTAAACAAGGATTGGAGAAACAGACCCCTAGCCCATGATGCGCATAAAATATAAAAAAGAAAAAGGAAAAGAGGGGGGAAAAAAAAAGTAAAAACGAATCATGTTTTGTTGCTGAGATAACTTGAATAACATTTCAGATAATTTAGCATATGGACTACCAACATTATATTCCATCAATACCTCCGTCACGTGTGCATGCATGCGAGCATGTGTTTAAGAAGGCTTCACAAATAATGTTAAATTTGATATATCCAACTTACTGAAAGATGGAGGAAAATGTGCAATAACTAACATCCAAAATGGAACCACCTACAGTTTGGTATATTTAAGGGTTTAAATTAACTATGGATTATTATGAGTTTTGGCATAACATTGAATTTAGAGACTTAGTATTCTCTCTCTCTCTATCTTGGGGCTGATGCTCCCACTTTCTCCCAACTTTCTTTCCTCTGTTCTTCACCTTTTCTTCCCTTCTCTTCTATCAAATTCATAAATGGACTAATACATTGCATCCCGTTGTCCACATCAAACCTTGATCCTTAACTTTGAGCCATGAGTTTGGAAGACCTGAATTGACTAGGAAATTAACCCTTTAGATGAGTCCTTAGTGTCGAAGAAAAAGGGTCATGAAATCTTTGAAAATGGCCACAATTACATTAGTGTCATGAGGTGCAATTCATGCTTGGAAAACACCAAATAGTTCTCATACATTTGTGAAATTAAGGACAAGGTTTGTAAAGTCACCATTGATGGTGTGAGTTCCACTAATATTTATGAAAAACTGCCACCTAAGGCCCCACATTTTCAAAAGCCCCCCAACATTTCTAAGTTACTTGTCTAAACACCCAACCAAAAAAAAGGGTCAAATGAAAGGCTTAAAAAACTTACTGAAAAAAATCCTCATTGTTCAAAGACCCTTAATGGTAAAGGCTTTAAAAAATAAATAAATAAATCCTCCTTGTCTAAAGGCCAACAAAAGCATAATATCCTCATTCAAAGACCTATGACGACTTTTGGAGATATCTTGTGCATTGGAAGAAATCATCAGAACACCAATACCGCTTAGAATTTCGAAGACGATTTTCATTGCTTTGATATTGTGGTACTCACAGGAGGATAGTTTTTAACCGGGGAGAATTGACGGAGACCATGTGTTTGCACCCATTTTTGTAAAATTCCTATTGACAGGTGGATTAATCGGATGATGACACGTGGCAGTGAAGTCAGAATGAAGTCTTTTAAAAGTCAGGGGCTACGTGGTGTGAAGGAACTGATCAGGTGCATCAATTGGCTGAGAGGGTCGTGAGCTAGTTATCAATTGGTTAATTGGCTTGGTGGACTGATTTATAGGGGACCATATTTGTGAATTGGAAAGCTTTTCTCTGCCGATCATGCTCATTAATTGAAGGAAAATTGTGTGATGACGTGGTTGGAGGTTTAAAAGCGGAGTTGGGTCAAAGATAAAAGTTTAAAGAAGCAAAGGAGGTTACAAGTAGTTATGGACCTTAGTAAAATGTTTTTCTCTGTCGAAGGTAGTGCTAGAGATCATGGGGGACATGTGACAGCATTGAGAAAGTTGGTTTTGCTTTAGAAAGAGGAACCAAAGAAGGTTTGAAGGTTCAAGAAGGCCAAGGTAGTTTTGAGCAGTTGAATGAAAGTGGCCTGCTGATTTGAAGGATCATGGGATAGTGGCTAAAAAGAACGAAGGCGTGGTTGAGATTTGGGGCATTATAAAGGAAGTAAATGAGCAAGAGAAAAAGACATCAACAACAATACAACAACTTAGGCCTCATTTGGGGACTAGCCGGTTTAACCAAAAAGTCAAAAAGCTACTAAAAAAGCCAAAAAGCCAACAACCTATACCAAAAAGTCAAAAATTCTCTTTTCTCTCTACTTTTTGCACATCTTTTCGTAAAAAGTCAAAAAATTATCCCAAACATACTAGTTTTTTTTAACTCATATTTTAGCCAAATAGCAAAAAAGTTACTAAATTAGCCTGTTCCCAAACGAGGCCTTAGTTTTAGACTTAGGAGTAGTTTCAATTGTAATTTAGGAGTAGTTCATTTGATTGTGACTTGTACTTTTTTTAGTGAACTTCAGTAATTTCAATATGAAATTACTTATGTTTATTCAAATCTACTTTGTTACCATCAGTTTATATAAAAAGTGTGTTCTTTCTTCTTGTTTACTTTGTTATCATTGATCCAAAAAAGTCATCATTCTTTTAAGGCATTCGAATCAAAACCACAATTGCCTGATTGTTCTTGTTTAAATTATTCAGTTTGAATTATTGTTTGATTGCTGTCGATCGAACCCCAGCATAATTTTTACTAACACCATGAAAAAGGCAACAACCAGGAATTCTACTTATTTAAGAGTTTACAAGAGAAGTCTGAAAAGCGGCTAGTTGAAGCCTTGTGACACCAATAACAGTCATTTCTATTAATTAGGATTTTATTATAAAATTTGTTATTTTCAATTTATTTTCTTATTTTTATTTATTTCTCTTTTTGGGGACAAGCATATATATTTTATGTCTAAGGCGGCTTGGGTGTATCGAATTTTTGGAGTTTTTGGCATAATATTGAATTCAAGGACTTTGGCATAATACACTCTCTCTCTCTCTCTCTCTCTCTCTCAGCAGGTTCTCCCCATTTTTATCGATTTTTCTTCACCTTTTCTTCTTCCTTTTCCCTTCTATTATAGCTCACTCTCACCTAACTCACGGTCGGGCTAAAGAGATATCATCCATCTGCACGTGAATGTTTTTGTGAGGAGTTCTCTTGAATATAAAATTTGGTCACCCCCCTAACCTCACCACACACGCGCGCGCGCCACACACAGACAGAATATAGATAGATAGATAGATAAATTGGCATAAGGAAAAATATTTTTTTTTAAAAAAATCCATACAGAAACTGGCATAAGAAACTGCGTAGTGTGTACCTTGCCACAAATTGGACAACTGTCACTTCTTTCCATCCATTCGTATATACAACCAAGGTGAAAATGATGAGAGCACTTTGCTGTGATTTTTGGATTTTCTGGAGTATATTCTGCAATAGTATATGTCAGTAAATATCAAAGTAGTTAAGCAAGTGCATAAGAAAACTGATTTTTCAATCTTAACATTCACCACTCATGGCTAGCATAAAAGTTTAATCATATTCAAATAATGATCTACCAGAAAACTACAGGATTTTAACGCCACAAAAGACAAGTTCACATTGGCTGCTAAAAGTATGAATGAGGATATACTAAAGTACCGTCAAGACATGTAGGGCAAACATCCTCATCTTCAGAAGAATGTTGTATATAAATTAGTCCATGTGCAACTTTTGTAGTTAAGGCCTTCTCTGAAGACTCTGAATGGCCAAGTTTGAACTCTTCTGCAGAATCAACTCCATTCCATTTCTTCCCAGAACCCAATGGTTCCATACCAGAACTACTCATATTTCTTCTCAGTGGTTGTGAATCTTCTTGAAAATGAGTCATTGACTTATCACGCCTAGAGACCAAACCATCACGTTGCGAACGAGAGAATCTCTGATCAGCATCATAAGGCAATGGTCTAGAGACAGAGTGGTGTGCATCATTGAGGGAACTATCAGGTAGCACTGTGCCCATCCCTGAGGATGCTAAAGCAGTTCCTTGGATTGATGATGATACTGACCTTCCTTCAATTCTGAGAAACATTGTACTATACTGCAAGACAATAAGGCAGAGTGAAAAATCGGCACATTGAAGTAATGCAGAAGCAGATTATACAGGCTTTATCTCCTTGAAAATTGAAGAAAATGCTAACATTATCATAACAATAAACCTTTCGAATGAAGACAGTAAACACTGGACAAAATAATGATACAATTGGATGTCCCATAAATATCCAACAATTCTATATGCCCATGGTTAGAAATGACTCTATGCTAAAACGCATGAAATTGTTTTTCATTAACACTAACAAGAATGACCATATTTTAGGAATTCCTCAACAGCTGTCATTTCTATTCTACCTGGATACTCGTAATGCCTTAGTAACTCTATGTAACAATGGGCAGAGCTGTGGTCACATTCATTTAAATCTAATGTCTCACACAAATATGATGGTTGTTGTGCCTGCTTTGACATAATTAAATTTCAAGCACCTAGCATAAATACAGATTCTCAGACATGGTGCCTCCACATTTGTAAACTTTTTACCCATCAGTAAAACCTATTATCTCTTTTGGGTGATGAAGGAAAATAATCTTTCAAGGAAATAAGCTTTTGCCTAAATTCCCATGTAGACAACGTGGTTCTCTTGGCCAGCCAAACCACTTGCTCTTACATATGGTCCGCCAAACAAAAACTAAGGTATCATTGTGCATTGCCCTGTACCAATACATACCGACATTATGTGAAGGTCAACAACAGACCTACTTCTTAAAATTAAGTTACCCCTATAAGATAGATTGATCTCCAAGACATTGAGTTATATCCACAACATCACAGTGGTCAGAAATGTTTTGACATGACATTGATGCATGTTTCTATATATCAATTATGAAAAGTCTCCCAAACCTTTTTTTTTAACATTTCTGATGTAGTTCAGTATAGCTTTTGATTGGCACGTCTGATTCTGACCAGACAAACATACTCACTTGGGAATGGCTCCCCTCCATACTCCATATTTTATTTTTTGAGCTCCATTTTAGGCCTACATTGATAATCTAAACCGTTAATCTCGTAATCCCAACAATTTAGATAAGTTATGTAAAAAATTAATTTCATCGGATATCACTAGATATGAATAAATTGCATATTGTTTTTTAAAATGGACAGTAATTGTGAGTTTATACTTAAACCTTTCATTCTATAAAAACAAAAAGTGATTTGTTTATGTATTCATTGACATTCGATGAAACTAATTTTTTTATACAGACTGTCTTTATTGTGAGATTTACAAGATGAACAATTTAGATTACCATTGTGGATCTAGAATGGAGTTCAAAAAATAAAATATGGAGAAGTATGGAGGATAAGAGTATGGAGGGGAGCTATACCCTACTCATTTTCAACATTATAGTTGCACAAATATAGCCAATAATCACCAAATCAAGGAAAGAACCATCAAGGTGCACAAATACTTGCTTAAATTTTGGCTGCAAGCCATTTGGAGTACACTCAGTCATCCTCTGAAAGTACCATGTGTCTTTAACTGCAGCATGCAATTACAAACTTCAGCATACCAATGGTAACACTACGTAATGCACCGCTCCATCATTCTGGATTAGTGAGGGCGAAAGAAAGAACTCAAAACAGTGGTCTAACAAAAACAATAATTTTAACGACGATGGGTCATTCATGTAGCAAGCATCTCAAGTGTAATAACAAGCAAGTGCCCAGTCTTACAAACCTGATGGACAAAATCCCAGATTTAAAAGGTAAAGCTTTTGGGTAAATACAATTACCTTGACACCTGGCACTAATGTGTCATTAAAAGCATCCACACTTTTGCCCGTGCATTGGACACGTCAATCTATCATACAATGCCACATTTTCTTCTACACCATTGCTCCCTCTTTCAATCTAATAATGAGGATAAAGTACTCAGTACGCTATCCTTGGTTTTTGACATGAATACCCTCAAGGAAATCTACTGTGACATGAACTTAGGTCTACTGTCTCATTTCCCCATTTTGCACCATTGAGTTTTGCTTCCTCACAGTGCTTACACTGTGCCACTTGCATGCCGCACTCAGTTGTAATGAGCAAGTACAATATAAATGAAGTTGTGGCTTCGAGGATAGGGTGAAGAATTTGAAGCTTTGAATAATGACACATGGACATGCAAAGTTTTAAAAAATACAGTATATGACACGTTGGGGACACATGCAAAACATATAATTTTATATATTTATTATATGTACCTTTCTAAAAAATATATATATATATATTTATTTGAAGTTGTGGCTTCGAGGATAGGGTGAAGAATTTGCCCTAAGAAGCACGGACACATGGACATGCAAAGTTTTAAAAAATACAGTATATGACACGTTGGGGACACATGCAAAACATATAATTTTATATATTTATTATATGTACCTTTCTAAAAAATATATATATATATATTTATTATATGTCATATTTTTAAATATTTAATATTTAATTTTATTAAATTATCAACCTTCAGTTAGGTATGCTATTTTAGTGAAAAAATTATTATTTTTTTAAAAATAGTCCTCAAAGTGTCCAACACCTCAGCGTATCCCCAACGTGTCCTCAGTATGTCCCAACATGTCCGCAGTGTGTCCCAAAGTGTCCCAGCCCAGCGTGTCCAACACGTATCCAGCGTGTGTTCATGTTTGACACGTGTCCAACGTGTGTTCATGTCCGACACGTGTCGGACACCTGTATCATCTCCGAAGAGGTGTCTATGCTTCATAGAATTTTCCTAATCACTCCTCCCATTTGTGGTTTGCTTGGCCAGTTTTAGAAAGAGAGATCCATGCGTTGCATGGTCTCCTAGACATGCGTAACACTCTTTACTAGAATATGTGAACTCCTAACAGATTGCTAGAATCGCACAAAGGCAATCAACTCTCCATGCTTCAGATCACTTACTATAAATAGAGGCCTCTAACCCCTCATGGAACAAAATCGCAAAAGTGAAGGCTGCAATTCCTGTTAGAACAATGATAGTAGTGTGCATGACAATTGAAGCAACAAATCATATGCAAAAGAGCTTGTGGTTGTGAAACCAAATTTCCTAGTTATGGCAATAGTGGCATTGGAGTTTTGGTATTTTGGTATTGATAGTCGTATTGTTTTAACCATTAAAACATAACATGAAAGAAGATTATATGCCCAAAATACCTGCACAACGGCCAACCACACCCATCCAATTGATCCAAAGAAATGATATGACCTACACATACAAATGGAACCTACAAATAATAGCAATAGCAGAATGTGGAATCAAAGGCTTCCATGAGGCTTATGAAGAAAGCTACAAATATAACTCTTATTATGCATAACAGCTGTGAAAGACCTTAAAATGACTAACATTTGAAATTTGGATATGGATTCTCTAACCATAAAACCAATACTATGATTAGGAGAGGATGGTGTCGAAGAACTATGAACGCTTACAAGAATATGTCATGCCCGTGTACAACACGCCTCAAACAAGCATCCGAACTTAAGATTATTTTATTTTATTTTATTTTTTTTAAGAACCGGATACAATTTGTACACTTGACGGACACAACTACACATTGATTAAACACGTGAAACACATCACAAATTTGAAAATAAAATAAAAACAATGTGAATCAATACCTATTAAATCCCTCCTCCTTTAGAATTTTTAGTTTTAGGATGGTTTTTTAATATAGTTTTCTAACATAGATATCAAGACTTTTTGTTCACACTTCTTTCTCAATGTAGAATGCAGAAATGATTTCTTACTATTTTGATATAATAAAATCTAGATGTATTTGGATTTGTAAACACGTGAAACACATTACAAATTTGAAAATAAAATAAAAACAATGTGAATCAATACCTATTAAATCCCCCCTCCTCCTTTAGAATTTTTAGTTTTAGGATGGTTTTTTAATATAGTTTTCTAACATAGATATCAAGACTTTTTGTTCACACTTCTTTCTCAATGTAGAATGCAGAAATGATTTCTTACTATTTTGATATAATAAAATCTAGATGTATTTGGATTTGTTTAGCTGTATCAGGTCCAAATAATGCAGCAATACATATGATCAGCCTTTTTTGGCCCACACAACACAAGTCAAAAAAGAATCTACGCAGCATATGACCCACTCTGATACATCTCTATGAAAAACTTTCATATGGCCACTTTTTATAACTTCACTAGATAATCATTACAACATGTTTGTTGCAAGAAGTGATCTATCTGCAAATCTTACTCTGAGGGAGCCTGACACATTAACGCCTCATTAGCCCCTTAAAAATACAGGGTGACTAAGTCAGTAGTTATAAACAAACATCTTTCAGCCATATATGTCCATGCATGTTTTAAAGAAAGAGTTACAAGAATGCAGGCACCAAAGCACAGTAAATGATTGTATTAGCTATCAAATCTATGGAATTTGCAAAAATTGGCCATAAATAACCAATATGATCTCTGCCAACCACAAAGGTTTCCCTCTGTAACTTACTAGTCAACATGTTAAATGTTAATAGTCGGATCCTATTAATCTTTGTAGAAATAACTACAGAACATGTACAAAGAGAGTTACTCAAATTGGTAAAATGATCTATGAAGTATGAAACAATAGCTTTATTTCAATAACCATGGTATGTAAGTGTATGGCATGAACATATAATTACATCGAAGTATGAAACAAAGAAAAAGAAATGCATCAGGTTACATGTTAAACAAGACATTAATGCATATATATATATATATATATATCATGATAAGGCACTAAAGATTATATATTTACTAGCAATGCAGCATCTTACAAGTTGGAGGTTGAATTGTTGATTATATATGTAAACATTTTTGCCAAGGAAAAGAACAACACATTGACCTAGGGCATAGATCAGCTAGGAAAGCCTAAATGGCACGGCAGCTCCTGAATGCCTTGATTACATATCTTGAGTAAAGGAGTTCATAAAATTGGTTGCAAGATTTCTAGCTCATGAAAGTCAGCAGCCATACCACACTTGAATAGGGGGAAAAAAAAAGAAGAAAAAGATTGATTTACAACAACAGCCATGAAAAAAAAAAAAATGAATAAGATCGCAGCAGCGTGGTAGAAGCTGAAACAAAGAGTGAGTGCTTACCCCAGAAAAGAGCTGGTGGAAAAAGAATCTGAGGGATAAACAGTGAGTATAGATTGAATTGTTTTGATATTCTTCAAAATCATCAGCACATGGACAGCAGCAGAAAGCACCCATCTCTTATGTATTATTATTGTTATTATTCCTTTCCTGATAAATTTGATTATACAATAATCAAACTTTTTACTTCCATAAAAAAAAAAAAAAAAAAAAAAAAAAAAAAAAAAAAGGAAAAAACGAGCACACACAAATGTAGCAGGCCGCCGATAATAATCCCAAGTTATGCAGAGCTCTTCTCTTGAAGACTTGAGAGCAAAGCAAAAGCAGAAGCAGATACAAAAGATTTTGGTGAATCCTGCAAGGAAACAACAAACACCCCAATTCACAAAATTAAAGTATGTATTTTTAGGCTCAAATGGTCTTAGGGTTTTTTGTTTTTCAAAATGCAAATACTTACTCTCTCAGGAGTCGCAGCAAAATTACCGACTGCAATACTTCGTCAAACTATGCTACTCCAATAATAAGGTATGACTACTACTCGTAGAGCCGTAGTAGTAGTGGGGAGGCGGGGAATGCAAACAAACTTCCATCGTCTGGTCATTGTGGGAGGGACAGCTCTCTAGAAATAAAATATGTAAATAAAAACATAAAAAAAAAGAGACCGCAACAAACGCAAGCGATGGAGGAGTCATCTTATGAATTATGAATATGAAATATTAAAAAATGAGATTGTTATTATATATTTATATATAAATAAAAATAATATAATTAAATGTATCTATTGCTACTATCGTAGCGTAGGCAGGCATGGTATGAATTAAAAAAGAGCATATTACAAACACTACTTTCGAGATTTAGTAAGAATATAGATTTTTCTTGAGATTTGAGAAATTATAAATTGTCTCTTAAAGGTTAAATTTTCATAACAAATTAGAAGAAATTAGGGAAAAATCTGTATGAAAATAAAAACCTCATAAGACAATTTGTTATGGAAATATAACCTCAGGGAGCGGCATGTAATTTCTCAAATCTCAAGAAAAAATCTATATTTTCACCCAATTGTAATTTGTCCATTAAAAAAAGAATAAAATAAACAAAATAATATGGGAATTTGGTGAGCGGGGTCTGTACAAGCTTTGAAAGGAAGTAACAATATTAAGGTGGGGGGAGATTTATGAAAAAATTTAAAAAGAAAAAGAAAAGATATATATTAAATTAAGTAAGATATAATTATTTTTTATTTATTTTATTTAAATTTTTTATTAATTTTTTCAACCAAACACAATATAAAAATAAAAAAAAAATTATCAAATATTTTATTAAATATCTCACATAAATATAGATTTCATATTTATGTGAGACCTATACTGATTTAAAATTATAAATTTAACTATTTTGTATAATCAAAAAGTATAAATTATTCATTAAAAAAAATTGGGATGTTGGGTTGTGACTATTTTAGCCTATGTTTGGGATGTTGGGTTGAGACTATTTTAATTATAAAAAGATAAAATAGACTAAAAAGTCAATAAGATAAAATGTCACATTCAAACTATAATTATTTTATTTTTTCTTTTAATAAAGTAGTTGGGCTCTAATTCATCAATTTAATCGGTTTAATCTAACCCGAAT